TAAGGGGGCTTCTCTAGGGGGGTGGGGTGTCAGGAACCTGACCTTGGGTAGTGCTAGTGACTTTAGTCTCACCTTGGATATAGGAGGAGGCTAGAAGCTCCTTATAAGGGAGGGTGCCACATTCCCTTCAGGCCAGTCTTTTGGGATGTAGTGGGCTCTTCACTTGTACTGGAGTATGCGATGCGCATTAAAAACGTCCGAACATATGCCGATGGACCGGGAGCTGGGTCTAGGCTGCTAACAAAAAATGGCTAGACAGTCGACGTCACAGGGCTCCACGTACCACTTGTAGTCAAAGTACGAGTTTATCGTCACCTCCAGCAATCAGCAGCCACCCGAAGCCTTCTTTGCCCCAAATCTTCGGCAATAGCCAGTGCATTCCGGCAAGCAATTGCCTCCATCGTTGTCGGATCGGTGAAGCCAGCGTCGATTACGCGGGACGCTCCCAAGAAGCTGCCGTCCGCCGCCACCGCCCCTCGAACCTGCTTCTTCGCAGGAGCAGCATCGACATTGACCTTGACACAGCCCATAGGGGGCGGGATCCACTTCGGCCGGCTCGCACGAGCAGCAGGTACCAATTCGTTGCCCCTCTTCTGTGATGCAGTTGATTGTTCTTATAGAAATCGCTGAACCAATCCGTAAGTTGACATTGGACTTTGATATGCCTCTTCCGTGGATCGCTGAACCAATCCCACATCATGACTACTATTTTCACAAACTCTTCCTGCAACAGTGAGTCGATTAGATTGAAGATCAACTGTTTAGCATCGGTATCTTGTGTGCACGCAAGATGTTTGACAATATGCTCCTCTGCCGGGACATCATACACTCCAGGAGTGCAATATGACGGCAAGTCTTTAATGACGTCAGCATTACACTATGTAATGATTTTACTATGTCATCCAAATATCTACCTAAAAAGAAAACTGTCATCAATATTTTCCGGTATTTTTCTTCTGTTTTTTAGCATTACTTTGATGCATATGATTTTTTATCCATAATAAAAAGGTGAACTATGGATATATCTTTTGTTCCATGATCAGAATTTTTAGTTCACTATAGTCACGAATTTCTTTTGCTGAATTTGGCCATCTTTTCGTTCAGCAGTTACATTTTTTTTGTTTAACATAGTCAAATATTTGGTGTGTTGCAATCACGTGTTGAAAAATGTTTTGTTCACTGCAGTAAAATGTTTGCTTATTCTAAATTGTCTATTTGTTGTATTCAATATTCGGTTCATAAAAACAGAAACGTGTGGTTTTCCCTTAAAAAACACAAACATGTGGTTCCAACATGTGTCGTAAAAAATAAGTATTTTCAGAAATTTCCCTTTTGGGAGGCTTGTATGCAATCTAGCAAGCAACAACCGTTGCCAATTTGTTTTTTTTCGAAAAGGGGGAGATCCCTGGCCTTTGCATCAGAACGATGCATACGGCCACATTTATTAATAAGCAAATAAGTTCATCACATGTCTTGAAGTCTCAAACAAACGAACCCAAAAAATGCTCACAAAGAGCAGAAGAGTAAAAGTAAAACCACAACCGGCTGGCAAAATAAAGATTGGAAAACTAATGGCCTATCATATTACATAACCGCCATCCAAACCGGTTGAAAATAACCCGTTCTACCATCTCCCATCGGATAAATCCAGTAACCAAACGCTTCCTGGCCTCCGTCGGAGTGAGTAGCGACCACATACGGATCAATGCAGTGGCTCGGAAGATAACCTGCAAAAAATGAGTATTTGTTGTTCTGTTAAAAACCAAATCATTTCTGCAGTTCCAGACTGCCCATAATAAAGCACATACTCCTACACGAATGTGTCTTGCTGTTATGGAATCTATCCCGTCAATCCACGTCTCAAATAATGTGTTGATAATATTCGGAGGAGTAATATTAAAAGCTATGTGAACAGTCCGCCATAAATTTTTTGCCAACGGGCAGTCAAGAAAGAGGTGTTTGATGGATTCATCCCGGTCACAAAAACTACATTTTTTAGATCCAGTCGAGTTGCGTTTTGCCAAATTGTCCTTAGTTAAAATGACTTGTTTGTGTACAAACCACATAAACACTTTAACTCTCAAAGGTACTTTGACATTCCAGACATGTTTCGAACTAGGAATAGAGCTAGCATTGATAACATCCGGATACATGGATTTAATCGTAAACTCTCCATTCCTAGTTAGCTTCTAGCACAACTGATCTGGTTGTTGAGAATAGTATGCTAAGGGCACTCCAATGAGGCCATGGCAACGTCCCGTAACTTATGCCAACTCTGCAAAATAGTTCGTGGATGAGAGAGAAATAAGAAAGAAAAGAGAGGTTGTATGTTAGACAACCAGCAATAATAACAAATATTATTATATTTTCCTTGCTCCTTCTCTCATTGTAGGTGTTGTCTTAATAGAAAAAAAAATACAACAACAATTTATTGGCAAACTTGCAAAAAGATAATATGGACACCACAACCTTTTTTCGAGTTCCACATGAAGAAAATGGCTAGCTCAACAACCAACCACCTGCTATACCCATGTAAGTATGTAATCTCCATGGTTCAGTTTTTTTTAATATAAAGGCAGTGGTAGTTTTCTCTCACTGTCATTCAAGGTTCAATAAAAATGCAAAGTTGGAGCATTTGGAAGGGCCTTAGAGCATCTCTAGCCGTTGGAGCCCTCAAGAATACCACCGAACCAAAAAAGTTGATGCCAAATGCTTCATCCGGCGAAATAGAAGTGCGTGGGGAGGGCATCTTTCCAGCCACACCCCACCCCAACCAAAAGTTTGTGAGGGAAATGATTAAGTGGGCCAAGAAAAAGGACATGTGGAGAGATACGATTCGCCGAAACTTCCGCCGGCGCCCCCAAGAGCCCCCCAACATGCTGGGTTTTGGTTGGGTTTGTCGGCGCTATTTTGACGTCCTGGGGGCGCGCTGGGGCGTGGCCGGGCCATTTTTCGGCAAAAAGCACTGTCCGAGCCTAAAACCGAGTCTAAAAAGGTGTCCTCAGGGGCGTCCTGGGACCGAGTGGAGATGCTCTTAGAATGATGGGTTACTTATCTTATAGGGATGATACAAACAGTGCTACTTTGGAATTTGCTCGTTCCTTTCTGCTATAAACAATTTGGCAAAACCTGAAGCAGAATTAGAGCAAAAGAAATTATGTCTGATGAGCATACACTTGGATTACAAAAGAACTAGAATGAGTACAACATCAGATGAACGATGTAATTCTATCCAAGATCAATCTTTGCTGAATTCAACGAAAGTCGCAGTGTATGCAATTACAACCTCCTTTTTGAGGGTCTTACGCATGAGGAATCTTTGAGATTCCCTAAAGACTTGGTGTTAAGATCGTAGAAATGAGGGGATCGCACTAGACCACCAGCACCAAACCGACCATGGCGAAAGTTACCACGCACATGGGTTGTCGACAAACCACGTGCAGACTTTAGGGAAACTGGGAATAATCAAGACTTCTTCCTCTCTCAGTCATGGAAAATCTGCAGGCACACAACCATTAATTAATCAGTAGAGGTACATTTTTTGGATCACCACATGGTCATTCTGTAGCTTGCTAGCGACTTGATCCAGTGCATGTGCTCTGTAGCTCAGATCGGCATCAGCTGCAGAGGTGTGCTCGTCTTATACATGACAGCATCTCGTTGACGCCAGGAAGCCACACTCCGGCAGCTGCAGCGAATTTATGCAGGTCGAGGCTAGCTGAGATCCATGGCGTCGAGCAGGGCGATCTTGGCCATGGGCCTCCTTGCCGCCGTGCTGTCCCCCGCCTTGTCAAAGCGGTCGTTTATCTCCATGCCAGCCGACGTGAGTAGTCCTGTGACCCTGGCCAACGGCCTCTCCTACGGCTACCACGCCAACTCCTGCCCGCAGCTGCAAGACATCGTGTGGCCGATCGTGGAGAGCGCGGTCCTGGGTGAGGTGGCCATCGCCGCCGGCCTCCTCCGTATCTTCTTCCACGACTGCTTTCCTCAGGTAGGGGGAGACTCTTGATTCCACTTTGAACTGCTCGTTATTTGTGTGTTTCTGCTTCAGCCTAACCGGCGGCACTTCAGGGATGCGATGCGTCCGTCCTTCTGACGGGACCCAACAGCGAGCGGGACCTGCCGCCGAACCAGACGCTGCAGCCGCGTGCGATGCAGCTCATCGAGGACGTCCGCGTCAAGGTACACGCCGCCTGTGGCGCCACCGTCTCCTGCGCCGACATCATCGCCCTCGCCACCCGCGACGCCGTCTTCGTGGTACGTGCACACGTCGGTCGCTGCTGTTGTACTGTACAACGAAAGCATCTCCCTACCTCACTCGCGAAAGAACCTATGCAGGCCGGGGAAAGCGAAATGTTCTACTTCTACGACCTGCCGCTCGGCCGGTTTGACAGCCTCGAGCCGGCTAATAGCAGCGCCGTCTTCGACCTCCCGCAGTCCACTGCCGACGCCGACACGCTCATCAACGCCTTCAAGAGCCGCAATCTCGAGCCCATTGACCTCGTCGCGCTCTCTGGCGCGCACACCGTCGGGAAGGCGCACTGCAGCTCCTTCAACAACCGCTTCTCCGAGGACGCCGACTTCGCCAGGAGGCTCGCCGCCAACTGCTCCAGCGACCAGAACCGGCTGCAGGACCTCGACGTAGAAACCCCCATCGTGTTGGACAACCAGTACTTCAAAAACCTGATGGAGGGAAAGGGGGTGTTCACCTCCGACCAAGTGCTCATCAGAGACGGGCGCACCGACTGGGCGGTCAAAGGCCTCGCCGAGAACAAATGGTGGTTCTACAGCCAGTTCCGTGACTCCTTGGTGAAGCTGAGTCAGTACCAACCCGGAGGAAACGTGGGCGAGATCCGCCGCAACAGCTGCTTCGCGCCCAACGGACAGAGCATTCCCGCCACCGCCGGTGACGAGGGGTTTGCAGCCTCTGCTTGAGTTCACCGCTGACTACGGGATCGTCGTTTAGTTTGCTTGTAGTAAGAGTATAAGCTAGTGTGTGCTGTGCTTCGTTCAATCCTCTTTCATGATGGCTCAGAACACGTTTGAAACAGTTGCACGGGGTTTGTTCCAATAAGACTGATCGTAATGAGAGTATCATAACTAGTATCATGTATGCCAACTAGGCAATTTAGATAATGTGGCATAGAATTAAATGAAGAAAGAAAGGTTGAGTATCATATTATGATACCGTATCATAATAAATGTTACACTACTATATGTCATGCATGACAATAAATAAAGTCATCTACGATACTACTATATAATACTATGAATTAGAGAGGTAGTATCATACACTAGTATCATATGCATGATACTAACTTATGATACTACCCATTACAAGCAGCCTAAGGTGGTGTTTGGTTCTTTAGAAGTAGGACTTTTTCTAGTCCCAACTAAAAAGTCCCTAGTCCCTAAAAAGTCTCTCCTTGTTGAGGTTATTAAATGACCATATTGCCCCTAGTATATAGGAAAATAACAATCAAATAACACCATGGGGTGGCGGGCCAATAGGTGCATTGAGGGGTATTGTTGGAAAAGTCTCCAAAAGTCCCAAAAAGACTCTCCTTGAGAGTCTTCTTCATTTAGTCTCAAATGCCTAGTTTAGTCCCTAAAAAGTCCCTCCCGTTTGATAAAAAAGTCTCTAAGAGGGACTTTTTCTAGTCCCTACACAAAAAAGTCCCTGAAAACAAACATCCCCTAATACTACACGGGCTTTTACAGGCTCTTTACAGAATTTACCAAACAATAACTCTGCCCCCTCGGGGGTGGGCCCCGTTCCACCTCCTAATTCCAATAGCAAACGTCCACGTTGCCAAGTCCGTTGACACCGTGAACAATTCCTCCGTGGCATTGCTCGAGTTTGTTTACTCAGGTTTTGTTTTTGGTTTGCGCACCATGGAGAGATTATGTGGATGAACTATGTAATCTTGTTTCTGACCGAGATGTCCTGTTTTGATATAAACTTTTTGGTACTCGATGACTTGGATGTATTTTATCTTTACTCTTATAAAAATCTGAGTTGGTGATGATGGTGTGCCTGCCATCTTGCGATATAGGTTGTCAGATCTATTTTGCAAAAAGATACCCGTACCTCTCTTCACATTTGCAGATAAGCCCTTCCATCATTCATCCTTATCTCCCACAATCTCATTATTGAGCAATTAAAAAAGGAAGCCAATGTAGCACGCAAAGGAATCCCAATAGCCGACACGAAATGTTTGTTCTGTGGTAAGGCTGATGAGGACGGAGCACACGTGTTCATAAAATGCAAGTCAGCGAAGGAAGTGTGGAGGGACCTTGCCATGGAGAAGGAACGTATGGAGCTGGAGACTATTACGTCCGTGCATGGGATGATAGATTATCTTTGGGGTCTCGATGAAAGAAAGCGGCTACACGTGCTCACATTTTGGTGGTTGTGGTGGTCAAATAGGAACAAACTCAGAGAGGGAGAGTTGCCTCTTGCGGCAGCAGAAGTGGCGAGGCGAACCAGAAGCAATGTTCTCGAATACCTATATATCTTTGGGAAAGTAGCTGTCAAGGATAACCCGGAGAGATGGCGACCTCCGATGGAGTCTGAGTACAAGCAAAATGTGGACGGATCCTTTGTGCCTGGTCAGCATCACGCCGGATGGGAAATTGCGGTAAGATCAAAAGAGGGCAACCTGCTATGTGCCCGGGCAGGGAGAAGTGACAACGTAAGTGATGCCTTTGCTGCTGAAGCTATAGCTATGTCACATGCGATCAATATGGCAGCCGAGCTCGGTATGGTTCGAGTAGAGGTTGAGACCGACTCACAACTACTGGGTGAGGTGTTGGATCTGCGCAGGGTGGATTCTTCAGCGTACGCAGCTGTCATCGAGGACATGAATACCAATTGAAGCTCTGGTTCTCTCACTTTTACATCTCTGTTTGTCGTCGTAGCGCGAATTCTGTCGCTCATGAACTAGCTAGCCTTGGTCGTTTGTGTGAACCGGCCCTGTAACACCCCGGATGTGATTTACCCAATATGTAATCCAACTCTTGCCGTTTTCGGCCTTAAATTATTTTATTTTCTCGGGTTCGGGTCTTTGTCTCCGTGTGTTGTTATTGTTGTCATGCATCTCATATCATGTCATCATGTGCATTGCATTTGCATATGTGTTCATCTCATGCATTCGAGCATTTTCCCCGTTGTCCGTTTTGCATTCCGGCACTTCGTTCTCCTCCAGTGGTCCTTTCTACCTTTCTTTCGTGTGTGGGGATTAAAATTTACGGATTGGACCGAGACTTGCCAAGCGGCCTTGGTTTACTACAGGTAGACCGCCTGTCAAGTTTCGTACCATTTGGATTTCATTTGGTACTCCAACGGTTAACCGAGGGACCGAAAAGGCCTCGTGTGTGTTGCAGCCCAACACCCCTCCAAGTTGGCCCAAAACCCACCAAAACCCTCTCCATCATCTAGAGCGTTCGATCACGATCGCGTGGCCGAAAACCGCACCTCATTTGGACTCTCCTAGCTCCCTCTATGCCTATATATACCTCCCCCATTTCAATTCCCGGATCTCCTCTACCCCCAAACCCTAAAACCGCATCGCACCGCGCCGGACACGTCCGGTCCGCGCCAGACGTCCCGCACCGCCGCCCCACAGCCACTGGCGAGCCGCCACGTGGCCTCGTCCC